ATATATATATATTGTTTTCTTTAAAAAAGTATATAAAATAAACAAAAAATATTACAAATGTGGTGAATATTGGAAAATGTTTTATTAAATAAAATTAAATATTAAATCATTTTAATATTAAATGTTGCCTTGGCAACTAACTGAAATAAAAAAGTTTGAGTTTAAACACTAAAATCACTAAAACATAAATAAAAATAAAATAAAATAAAGCTAAATAGAAATATGTATACAATAAATATTAAAATAATAAATAAATTATAAAAAATTATAAGCACATAACAAAATTATTAAAACTTTCAAATAAAATTCAATTAAAATGAAAACTGAAAATCTAAAAATAAAAACGAATAAAAATCTTTAATAAATATTTGACCCTGGACCACAAAACCAGTCATAAGGGTCAATTTTGTGAAATTGAGATGTATACATCATCTGAAAGCTGAATAAATAATCTTTCCATTGATGTATGGTTTGTTAGGATAGGACAATATTTGGCCGAGATACAACTATTTGAAAATCTGGAATCTGAGAGTGCAAAAAAATCAAAATATTGAGAAAATCGCCTTTAAAGTTGTCCAAATTAAGTTCTTAGCAATGCATATTACTAATCAAAAATTACGTTTTGATATATTTAAGGTAGGACATTTACAAAATATCTTCATGGAACATGATCTTTACTTAATATCCTAATGATTTTTGGCATAAAAGAAATGTCGATAATTTTGACCCATACAATGTTTTTTTTTGGCTATTGCTACAAATATATCCAAGCGACTTAAGACTGGTTTTGTGGTCCAGGGTCACATATTATAATTGAATATAAAAAATACTAAAATAGCACTGATGGCCCTCAATGCATCTCTTACTTGCAGCCAGATAGTGTAGTTACTGCATCTACCAGCAGAGGCTAATTACCATGCTAACCAGCCAAACATTTATACCTTGTTCCAAAGCAAACAATCACATGGCTAACTACTGCATTTCATCTGCTCTGTACTATCCAAACTCTAAAATCATTTCTACAAATTTTCTCTCTCTATCTCTGTGTGTAGTTCCACGCTCTCTCGCAGGTTCAGGCTCAGACTCAGTCTCAAGCTCCCTGCAGTCCGTCTTTGAGCCGACAGCAGCTGTACCAGCAGCAAGTCCAGCTCCAGTTCCAACAGCTGGCTCAGCTCGCCGCGCAAGCCCAGGCTCCCTTCAGCACGGCCTCGGCCCAGCGTGACGGCAAGCTCCTGGAGGTGATCGAGAGAAAGCGCTGCCTGTGTAAGGAGATTAAGGCTCATCGTCGGCCGGATAAGAGCTTATGTAAGCAGGACAGTATGCCTATTTTACCTAGCTGGAGGAAAACGCCGGAGCCCCGCAAGACTGGAACACCGCCCTGCCAGAGGCCACAGGCTGTGGTGTGGGACACGGCCATCTGACCGAGGCTGTGTGTGTGTGTGTGTGTGTGCGTGCGCGCGCGCGTGTGGTGTCATGGTGAACTTTGTAAGATGTATCTTTGCATTGGAGACGTGTGAGATTGGAAGCAAAACAGAGATGAGAGGAAATCCAGACAAAATGGTGAGGAGTGCAGGGGAACGAGTCAATAAAACACAAAATTCGACATGTATACACAAAAAAAATCTTACACATTCAGACACAGGAAACGATGATGAAGGGCTGTGTGGTACTGTCGTAGTTTGTAGATTCATTTGAAGTCTAATTACTGCCTATTGATTGAGTGCCAATTTGCTGAGTGTTGTGACACGTGTGTCTGCCTATTTGGGGAGTAGAAGAAAGGCTGTTCGGCAGAAGTTGACTTTTGTAGCAATATTTGTTAAAGCAGGAGACTGATTGTTAGCCCAGTCCAATACAAAAACATGATGGAGAAAAAACACAGATCTGCATTGCATTATCATAAGGGCAAATCAATTGTGTAAAATTCACTTGATGAAAATAGTAAGATCACAGGATGAGCAAGATAGGAAATAGAGTGAGGACCAATGCACGGGCTGTGTTAACACGGGGTGTCATTGTGTTCACCTACAAACTGTCAGACCACCATATTTAAGCATCTGTTTACATTTAACCTGTATCTGACTGTATTTTTCAGTCTTTTTGGCAGCACAGTCTCATGTGTCAATCGATTGGGGTTGCAATGGCGTTTAATAAGATATAATAACATATATGCAAGCTCTTTGTCAGTCTTATCATACTACAGTCATATTAAGCAGTCCAGTTACCCTGTCCCTTGAAGAAAAATCAGTTTTGGAGCAAACTTCACCTCTTCACACTGTCCAACCCTCGTGCGCACATGCATTTATACAGAAACGCACACACTCTCGCAGTGCCCTGTTGGGAAAAATGAACACACAGTGGCACTCCTCAGACCGATGCTGGAAAGAAAGCGAACCACATGACATCGAGATTAAACGAGAAGAAGAAGAAAAAACAAGTGTTAAATCTGTAAAATAAACATGTACAACTGTATTGATTATGTAGCAATTATTTCCACTTTCATACTTGTAATCAATAAATATATTGTAGCATATAATGTATAAAAGTACAAGGTGTTTAATTGTTTTATAAAGAAATTTAGTAGTTTTATCTGTGGCTACCTGTCTACACTGTACTGAATGGACCACTGAAAGGCGAGCCCCCTCTAATAAAGGCACAGTCTCAGACACACACACACACACCAACCAACCAATGTTTTTTCTGGCTAGTGTCATGCAAGTCCCTTTAAGCAACTTAAGTCTGATCACATTCATACCCTCGCCAACACACTCCACTTGGTTCGCTGGAATATCACTTGGATATTTTTGGATATCTTCTGCTGCTATATTTGTTTACATTTAACCTGTATCTGAGCATATCCGGAGCTAACGTCTAACTGTATTTTTCAGTCTTTTTGGCAGCACAGTCTCATGTGTCAATCGATTGGGGTTGCAATGGCATTTAATAAGATATAATAACATATATGCAAGCTCTTTGTCAGTCTTATCATACTACAGTCATATTAAGCAGTCCAGTTACCCTGTCCCTTGAAGAAAAATCAGTTTTGGAGCAAACTTCACCTCTTCACACTGTCCAACCCTCGTGCGCACATGCATTTATACAGAAACGCACACACTCTCGCAGTGCCCTGTTGGGAAAAATGAACACACAGTGGCACTCCTCAGACCGATGCTGGAAAGAAAGCGAACCACATGACATCGAGATTAAACGAGAAGAAGAAGAAAAAACAAGTGTTAAATCTGTAAAATAAACATGTACAACTGTATTGATTATGTAGCAATTATTTCCACTTTCATACTTGTAATCAATAAATATATTGTAGCATATAATGTATAAAAGTACAAGGTGTTTAATTGTTTTATAAAGAAATTTAGTAGTTTTATCTGTGGCTACCTGTCTACACTGTACTGAATGGACCACTGAAAGGCGAGCCCCCTCTAATAAAGGCACAGTCTCAGACACACACACACACACCAACCAACCAATGTTTTTTCTGGCTAGTGTCATGCAAGTCCCTTTAAGCAACTTAAGTCTGATCACATTCATACCCTCGCCAACACACTCCACTTGGTTCGCTGGAATATCACTTGGATATTTTTGGATATCTTCTGCTGCTATATTGAATTTCAACTACTGCTTACATATCCCTCACTGCTGTTGCTTTATTTTTCTTCTTCATTCTTTTGAGTGCTCTTCGATTTTTTTGAGATCATGTGATGGAGTTTTTAGGAGTGGAACCTTTTGTAACTGTTGGCAATTGAATGTTTCTCAGTTGTTGTTGTTGTGGTTGTATTTAAAAGTTGCTGTTATTTTTCCGAATAGTTAGCACCACCAACCTGTACAGTTCTCACCCTGGCAACACTACTGTAAATGTGATGGCAACGTTGCAGTGATGTTGCCAAGGGTTTGACATGTTGTCACCATGACACCAGGGTTTCACTGCACCAACCGGGTGGCCATTTGAAATACAGTCTTTATCAAACAGTACGGGGGACCACAGTAGAGGAGGGCTGGTGCAATGCATGCTGGGAGTTCTTGACGGATTCCCTTAATCATTCAGTTCAAGGTTGGGCTGCGTCCCAGTCTATATAAATTGTGCCCAGTTTGTACTTCAGATATACTAAATAATCATCTAGTGGCAATTTATTAAGATGAAAAGGGTAACTTAAGTATTATTGGGTAAACTAGTTTACAGAAACTGTTGGCTTTGCGTGTCTACATAAACGGTGGCCATATTATGAGTGCCATAATATATTGGTATGGTAAGATACGGTGTACCTTGGAAATCACTGTAGTGCTATATTTGCATTGATATCGTCATGAAATAAATTTTATATGATGAAACGAATATCACGTGCGAATAATAGTGTGTGTGTGTGTGTGTGTGTGTGAGAGGGAGTGAAAGAAACCGTTGCAAATGCACATGGATTTAATGTCTTTTTGTCCTGCAGACTGCTTAACATACAGGCAGTGGAATATCTGCTTTCACATTCTAATGTGGTAATGTTTTATTCATTCCCTTTCTCTTCAAGCAAAAGTTCACCGAAAAATGAAAAATTGCTAAAAATCTACTCACTCAGGCCATCCAAGATGTAGATGAATTTGTGTCTTCGTCGGAACAGATTTAGAAAATTTAGGATTACATCACTTTTTCACCAATGGATCCTTTGCAGTAAATGGGTGCCGTCAGAATGAAAGTCCAAACAGCTGATAAAAACATCCCAATAATCCACAATTAATCCAAGTGTAAATCCAATAATTCACAAGTTATCCACATTTTTGGGTAAACTATTCTTTTCATCCTGACCTTCTAGGCTTGTTGTTTCTGTATCCAGTTTCGCTGTGGGCAGTTGTTTCTTGCTCATGTGTCAGCATCATGAACACAGGGTGCTGTAAAAACTGTCTGTTGACTGATTTGTTATTCACTGATGTCCTGTATCATAGATGCAGCTCCTGTACAAGTTCTCTCTTTCTGCAGGTCCTTTAGGCTAGTGTTGGCTCTGACCTGCATCGGTCTTGAACATCATTACAGATGTTATTTGACTATTGTGATGTGACAGATTTATCAAGTACTGCCAGTCACTGAAACATCTACAGATTATTCGAGTGCTGAGTGGAAGTTTAAGAAGTATACTGGCTCTTTAACAGCTGGACTTCTGAAGTGCTGAATTTATGCTTAATTGTTTGCTGTCCAGAGCATCAGAAATATAAAGTATATGGTTATTTAGATAAAAAGATAGCTTGGGCTCTTGTCAGTAGTTTTTTTTTTTTTTTTTTTTTTTTTAA